AGGCTTCAGGCCTCAGACTGGGCCTCTGACACAAGAGCTTATGTTTCAGGGCCTCATCTTACTACAATAGTGACTCCTGAAATCTGAATTGAAAAATTAATTTGGCTTGAATAAAAACACTATTATATGGATTGAAAACTGGATGACAGAGCATAAACAAACGGTAATGTATGTGATAATGTCTGGCATTGGGAAGATGTGTCTGTTGGGTACAATAGTAATCAGTACTAAACCCGTCTTATTAAATATCTTTATCAATGATCTAGGAAAGGGAATAAAAAGGATATTGATGAAATATGCCATTGATACTAAATTGTGCGCAGCTGCAAACACCAGTGAAGCCAGAGAAATCATACAAACTGATCTAAAGAGGTAGAAAATAATAGGGTAGAAATAATAATAAAATGTGATTCATTTTAGAAAATGGACCTAATATATCTAGGGGAAATTAATCCAATACTTCAGATTTTAGGGGTCACTATTAAATGTATTACTAAAATTCAAAAAAACATCTAAAAACCAAAAGGGATATATACAGAAAATGGACGGACGGGAATGTCACCATGGAAGTATACATGGGAATAAATGCGAGCATGTAGGGACAAAATCAGGAAAGCCAAGGCAAATAATGAGTTACAACTGGCAAGAAATGTTAGAAACAGCACGAAGAGTTCTTCAAATATGTCAGACAAAAAAAAAGAAGAAAAAACAAGGATGGTGTGGGTCCGCTGCTCAATGGAGAAGGTGAGCTGGTAAAGGAAGATGATAGGAAGGCAGAGCTACTCAATGCCTACTTTGTTTCAGCATGCGGCCAGTCAACTAGCGAAGTTACCATTATTCTACCTGTTGTTCCAATATTGTCTAGATGTATGCACAGTTCTTCTTACATTATTTTCCTAGGTATGGAAGTTACTTTTAAAGGACAGTAATTGCCAGGATCACTCTTCTTTCCTTTGTTTGAATATCAGTACTACAGTTTATTAACTTCCAAGTTTTCTAGTGTCTCCCCATATGTGATTTTTTTTCAAACATAATTGTCAGGAATTCAGTAAATTTATTAGCTAATTCTCTTCACACCTTAGGATGCATGTAATCTTTATTAATAGCTAAAGTTACTCTGTATTTCCTTACCTACTCTTCATTAATAATTATTAATAGCTTTCTAAGTTCCTCAACCTTTTATAATGACGTGACTATATTTTTTTCTCACCTCCCCCCTTGAGGAACAGCCAGGCATCTGTTTACCTGTGCATGTCTCCTGGTGAGAGACATTTGAGTGGGCAAAGTGATACAGTGCCAAAAAAGGCCAATGTAGTTTTGGACTTCAAGCACAGATGCCTCATGTCATGGATCAGAGAGCTAATAATTCTCTTCCTTACAGCTGTCTTGCAACTACATGTAGAATATTAAATTCTGTTGTTAGAACTTAGTGAATAACAACATAAAAGATTAGGGGGTAGGAAAAACTGATTGGCAAGATTGAAAGAGCTAAATAAATTCAGCTTGGCTCAGTGACAACTAAGGGTGTGGAAGACATGATAATGATCTAAAAATATACTATATGATGTGATGTTCTGGAACCTCCCTGGCTTGGAACATTTAAAACTAGGCTGGAGAGAAAAATGTATTTAGAGCTAGATCCACAAAGGGAATCAGGTGTCTAACTGTCATTTTAGGCTCCTAAATCCTCAACTTGCTGATCTACTTAAAAAGGCAATGTACTTAGAGTGGGATCAGTGTACTTAAAGGGGCAATGCGCGTCTCTCTCTCACACAAATGGTGTGTGTCTCTGTCTCTCTCTGCCAGGCTGTCTCCCCTCCCTCCATTGGTGCTGCCTTGTAGAGTGTGAGGTTACATTAACAACAATGTGTTAACTCCTGAGGGCTCAGCCGAGTGCTAGTTCATCATTTAGCAGTAAGGCATTCCCTGGGAAATATCCTGCCCTCTTCCACTGTGTACAGTATTAAATTGTTTGTTTAAAACGTATACTGTGTATATATGTGTGTGTGTGTTTGTGTGTGTATATATATATATATATATATATATACAACAAAATATATAGTTCTTTTGTCGTAGGAAACTAAAAAAACTTTCCCGTAC